AATCAATTGACATATATACAATTCGCATGCAGGTGATGAAGGTTTATTGCTACATGATAAGGGAAGTTGACGAAAAAAAGTTAAAGTCATTACGTTTATCATATAGTTTGGTTTTTAGATTACCATTAATGTCTTTTTCAAGTAAGATATCCAAGTATGAAAAAAATGTGTCAGACTCGTGGCATTTTTTATCTCAAGATCTTCAGGATATATCGTCGTCGATACATCTAAATGTCGAGTTGAAGACCACAGCAAGTCTTTTATTCTTTTCACGCATAAGATCGTACACAAATTCTGCTTCATATATGAATACAAAAATAGGTTTGATAATAACGGAGCGCAATTGGAAATCCATGGGTACCAATAGGTTGTTTGAAGAACTGGACTCCAAAAGCCACATAGATTTTTTTGAATCAGAAACTCGATCAAGCATCTTTTTTATGCCAACATCAGAGTACTTGTGTGTGTGTAATCAGAGTTTTTCAAAACAAAATAATTTTGCAAATGATCGATGACCACGTAAGAGAATTTACGAGTTCCATTTTTACTGAAAAACTGCTGTCAATGATATTAAAAAGTATGGACTTTAATTCATCGTGGGGAATGGTTGTGTATAAAGTTGAAAAGTCGTAAGTTTCTAAGCTGTTGATTTTGGTAAAATCTCGTGATTTCAAATTGTCCAAAAGTTCTTGTTGAGTATCCACATCTGATTCAAAACATTTCTTGAATAAACTGTTGCACAGTACTATTGAAGTTTTTCCATTTATCAATATCTTAGTGAGAGGCATGGTTGAACATTTACTGGAACCTACAGTGTATATTTGCTTGTATGGATTCTTATAACGTTTTGGAATCCAATACATATAGGGCAGTTCAAATTCATTTTGGCTCTGTGGAATATAAAAAATATTCAAAACTGACATGATTTTGAAGAATTTCTCCATAAGAAAAGGAAGTATGAGTATAAGTAGGATTACCACTAATAGAATTAAATTCAAGTAATGAAGTTCTTCCAGATACAATTTGTATAATGAGCCAGACAAAACGAAGACAATATTGTTACCTGCTTTGTCGGTAGGGACCAGAACGTACTGATCATGTAATATATCTTAATCTTTTTTTCACTTCTGGATTATCGAAAACAGAAGGATGGATGGTTTTCATATTGCCCTGCAATCTTTTAATGCGCGACTTAAACATGGATCTGATACATTTAATCCATTCTGGCAAAGTGTCAACATCTTCTATTTCATATCTGGCCCATTGTCTGGCGTAATTTTCAATAGAATCCATAATATTTACGAAATTCCAACGCCATTTGAAGTAGAAGGGTTATGCTTTCTGCTTTTAAATACACAACTTTTAACTACATTATATAAAGTACTAAATTTTTTATGTATATACAGGAAATACCATACACATCGAGAACGTTCTTATAATGATAGTAAACGTTCCTCAAAAAATGGCAAACATTTACATCTGATTGATTAAAAGTTCAAGCTTCAGAGATATTTATAAATAAAAAAAAAATACTTCCCCTTTTCAACACTTTTTAGCCCACAGACAAATGACCAATGGTTGCATCCCCTTTCTTCTGAGATTTTATAAACATTACCTTTGCAAATTAATGAAATCTGTTATTCTATCATGTCGGTACTTCAATATAAAGGCCTAGCGCATACAGTCTAAAGTTAATGCTAAAGTAAAAGTGTGGAATTTGGGGATAACAGTGTCTCAAACTCCAGGGTCAATGTGATAAGGTCAATGTTGGTTGCACACAAAAAAGGTCTTGTCATAAAAATACAACTGTGAAAAATGAAAGCCATAGTCACACCCAGTCTAAAGATATGGGCAAGAATTGTGCGGAAAAATATACAAAAAAGGTAGACGGACAGGTAAAAAATCATATATTCCCGAAACTTCGTTTACGGGGGCATAAGTACAACATTAATATAACAATTTTTTCATCATCCAACATTTCTTTTTTTTTTCATTCGTAAAAAAAAATACCTAAACCATTATGTGTAATAAGTACATGTAGAACGGAGAAAAAGATACTACATGTGCCAAATTTTGAAAAGACGCGCACTGCTTTTTTGTAGTTAATCATGTTTTATGCTGCAACCCCCATTCTGCTAAGGTTTTGCTGACACTAGCAAACGACAAAAGACATTTTACAGGTTTTGAGCAAACTACATTTTGTTTCCCTTACATTATAGGTCAGAGGCAATTTAATTTCTTACTTATTTTCACAAATAAAATCATGCCTATTTTTTATGAGAAGTTTGAAACTTCATTTATAGAAAACCAAATATTTTTATAAGATCTAATTTTCTAAGCTAGCAGCCTTTTTCGAGCAAGTTTTAAAAGTAGGGATCAAAAACGTTAAACTTTTGAAAAATACAACTTTATTATGATTTTTGCAAATTATTTATCCAGGGTAAAATCAAAGAGATTTACAAAAAATTAATTATGGAAAACTTTTTTCTGACACCAGATATAAAATAAACTTATTGAAAAGATTAAAATAAAAAGACAACTGTGAAAACTTACTGTATAAAATGTAATAAACGTTTCTATGAATGCGTATCATATCTTTGCTCTAATAGCCTTTAGTTAGAACATTTTAATATTGTTTTCCTTTAATGGGGATAATGGGGATAAAACAGTATTGTATAGCTTTGATTTCTTTATATAAGCTTAAGAGCTTTCAGAAATAACACTTCAAATCATAAGGCAGCTTGATATTACCCTATACATTCGCTTAACAGGAATATTCCTACCAAAACCGATGTTTTTGCATAAAAAATGACAAGGGGTCATTATTCTACGGGATCATTTTTCTATGTACAATGCACACGGAGAAAAACGACCCCAAGGCCATAATTTCTACAGAAAAGTGTGTCATTTTTCTACGTAGAATATTGACTAGGGGGTAAAATTTCTACGTAGAAAAATGACCCCCGGTCAATATTCTACGGGGGTCACTTTTCGTCGTTACACCGGCTCTTAGTTCTTTCAATACTTTGATTAATCTAACTTGTTAGAGTTTGATCTCCTTTGTTGCCCAAGCCTAGCCCCAGGGGGTTATAACTTGACCAGCCTTGAATCTACGCTACCTGAGAATGGTTACAGATACAAGATGTAAATGAAAGCTTTGGTTGTAGTGATTGAAATATCAAATTTAACTATATATTTCATTCCGTGCATAGGATGTTAGTTGTTAAACTCCAAATTATCGCTTCTGTCCTAGTGTCAGTCAAACATTCCTGCTTCAGTTTGTCTCACACCTAGATTCGTCGACGATAATTTTACGCTATATTTTATGAATTATTCTAAACCTTAAAATAAAATAAATATCCTTAAATAGAATTTGAAAATTAAACTACCATTTTACACACATAAAGACAGATGTAAATAACTGAGTCTAATCAAATATTCCACTTTATACTCTGTATACAAATCAAATGAAGAGTTATGATTTAAAAACAAGAACAAAACGAAAAACCTATACAGAAATACAGCCAAATTAATTTTCATATTATACAGAGTCAGTGAAAGTTCATAATTCAGGTAAGAAATCCAGAGAACGTGGTGCTAGGTGTGTCACTGTAAGTGTTATAACCTTCACAACTGATACAGTATGATGCAATATATATTCGTACAAAATGGCGACCTGTTTACATGCGCGTTCCGACTGATACATATTTATAGGGGACATAAAGTAGTTTATAAATAGAGATTGGAATTTCGGTAGTTATTTTTAACATTTTTAATCATGTGACATTTCATGTGTCACGTGATTTTATTGTCGTCTGCTACGTAAACAAATCTGAACCGGCGAAAACAAGATGGGGCGAAAAGGGAAAGAATTAAGCAACCAGGTAAAAGAAATCGCTAGGAAATTATTACAAGAAGGAAAAACTATCAGTTACGTGTCAGAAACATTAGATGTGTCCAGGACTACAATCGCCAGTTTTAAGAAGCGTGTAGAACGTCGAGGTTTCGTAGAAAACATCCCGAGACGAGGCAGGAAACCTATCGTGACAGCCCGAGACTATCGGAAGCTAGAAAGGCTCGTAAAAACCCACAGAAGAGAGAGTCTACAGGATACAACGGACAAATTCAATGAAAATAAAGAACGACCAATATCTAAACGAACTGTACAATTACATCTACATAAACATGGATTCGTGAGACGGGTTGCAAAGAAAAAAACTTGTAATTCGAGAGGTAAATAGGAGAAAGCGTTTATCTTGGTGTCGTGAAAAGAGAAAACTCACTGTTGACAACTTTTGGAGAAAAGTTATATTCTCAGATGAATCTAAGATTGTTGTGGGACAAGACTCGCGTGTATATATTTGGAGAAAACAAGGAGAAGGTTGGAAGCCGGATTTGGTAGAGGCGCGCAAAACAAAACCATGTTATCAAGTAATGATCTGGGGATGTATCACCTGGCACGGAGTCGGCACTATTTCTGAAGTGGATGGAAATATAAATGCTGATAAATATCAGACAATCTTAGATGACAATTTGTGGCCAGTTTTAGCCCGTCATTTTCCGACTGGAAATTATAATTTTCAAGACGACAATGCTCCTGTACACCGAACACGTTCGACTCAGGATTATTTGCACAGAAACGGAATTACTACGATGAGCTGGTCAGCCCAGAGTCCAGACTTAAATATAATTGAAAATCTGTGGCTCCTTATTAAAAGAAAGCTTCAAGGAAGGATAGGGCGAATTGAGAACAGAGACGATCTCTTCCGTGAAATCCAGCGCATCTGGACCGACATTACACCTGAGTATGTCAAAAGCCTTTACAGGACCATTTCGAGACGGTTACTAAGTGTTATACGCTTAAAGGGTCACCTTACTAAGTACTAGGTAAGTTATTTTTTATTTATTTAATTTCTGAAATGAAATAAACGAGTTACAATGTTGACCTACTTTCGTCGCGAGTGTAAACACGCCGCCATTTTGTACGAATATATATTGCATCATACTGTATATTTTACCCATACTGTGTCCCCTTTCTGTAGTCGTAATGTTGCAAGGTTTGAACCCATCTCATCACGTTCGTCTGAGCTGTATGCGAAGGCCGCTGCTCGGACCTTACTAGATCCATTTAACACAATATCTATGTATATATCGTTTGTATAGTAACTTTGGATACTGACGTAGAACACGTAGTCTCCTTCCACAGGTGCGGTGAAGATTCCGGTGCTCGGGTTATATCCTCCTCCCACTTTGTTGATGACTTTGCTGTACACTAAGGTACCACTGTTCCACGTGCTGCTACTGGATGTCACTCCAGCTGTGAACGCCACTCTCTTACGTATGTCTACAAATAACAATTTACTGGAAATAATGTCCACAATAAACTGGTCTTTCATTGTAACGTATGTGCATGGAAATTAAAATGACTCGAGAAGCTTTTAAAAAATATATTTAGAAAATCATGCGGTATTTTTCAACTGCTAAATGTTAAAGTTTTGCATGGCAATAGTGTATATTAAATATTCAATATTTTGATTCACTTTTGATATATTTCTGCTTTAGTTGTCTGTACATATGCTGTAATATTTCATTAGAGGACATGTACAGACACATCGGTGACGTAAAGACCGACGCCAAACAATCTGATGACAACCAGCAGAGGCTGTCCTCCACGGTGACGTCTCTCCAAAGGAACATTACCAGAGATAACTGCAGTAAATTTTATTATCAACTAGTTTTAATTGTAACGGGGACCGTTACAGATGTTCCCCAAACGCTCCCCAACTCCCTTTTTGTGCCTAATTCGTGTACGACATTATTAAAATTTGATCAGTTTCGAGGGATTTCATCAAAGAATTATAAAATAACAATGATATCAACTATATATCATTTAACGCATTGTATGCGCAAGCACATGCAATATGATAATGGCATGTTTTCTAAACCATTAACTTATCTATATTTAGTGAAAATCAATAAAAAAAAATCTTTAAAATATACGTGTTACTGTTTTTCAAATATATTTGTCATTAAGTGTATTTTGCGCGCACAGGTCATGCATGCATTTTCGTGCATTCAATTTTGATTGAACCATAATGTAGGAATTCATTTTACCTCTTCATATTCTAAATTTCATCCTGTTTTGTTGAAAACTAAGAAAGTTACAGGCATTTAAAGTTTCAGCCAATCAGATTGCAGCACACGTCCATGCACATGCTTTCATGATAAGTCTTATAAATCATACTGTAGAACTTCATAATGTATGACCATGTTCAAAATTTGAAAGGATTTTGTCAAAAAAAACAAGAAAGATATTGAGACGTAGATTTTGCGAAGAGCACGTACATGCGCGTGAAATCTTGCTATTTTGACCATGTCATCACGTCTATACTACTAATGTATACTGATTTTATGCGTTTCAAAGCATATAATTAAAAAATAGAAAAGTTACGGCTATATCTATTATATTGGTAATTTCACGTGTTACACGTGCGCGCAAAATGACCTTTTTTCCGCAAATCTACATAAAATTTTAATTTTTTACAAAATTGTATCTTAGACTTCAAAGACTATTGAATCATATTGAGATGCATGAAATAAAAATTGTTGCAAGAAAAATATAATTTAAGCTTAGTTACTTCGTCATTAAGAAATACTTGATATCGTGATTACTTAACTTAGCGGAACTCTTTCGCGATGGAGGTAGGAAAAGTCTTTTGGGTGGGGGCAATGTGCTATTCAATACAATGCAAGATCGATCACTGTAGCATTTATAAGGACAGGTAAGTAAAAAATCCTGGTGGAATACCTTGCTAAACAATCGCTGAACCAGCCTAATAAATTTTTGAGAGGAGCCAATTCTTAATTGTCACATTTTAACGATATTTTAAATTAAGTGGACTCTTCTCGTTAAATTTTCATTGAAAATCGTCGCAGTTTAGCAGATAAAATATTATTAACTTTCCTTTTTTGACAATCTACTATTTTTGGAGTTCAATATCTGGCAACACATTGTGATTTCGGCATTAAATTGTTTGAATCATTCGATTGTCACTACTGTAAACAATGTCATATGCCCCAGAAAGTTACACCTTTCTTGACTCCCCCGCAAAAAAGCAGTAGTAAATTAGATAACTGCGAGGTACTCATTGGTAGTCGCGATATTAAGTATTAATGTCAGTATTTCATTTCAAAGAAGAAAGGGGGCAGTAGCGAATATATATTCTTCTAAATAATATAGGTTTGGCCTTATAAGTTTATCTTTTATCTTACCAAAAGTTTTTTTTTTATTTTAAACTTTATTGCCTCCTTGACCATATTATCTGTCAAGACTTCTGATTCCAGATGTAGGAACTTGTTTATATGTTTTTGAAAAAATTAAATCGCAGAAGAGAAAGGCGTTATTTAACAAGACGCGTAGACACTTAACATCTCATGAGCAATTCGACTGCCGTGAAAGAGCTGACATTTTGGTGTACATATTGTACACTTTCTTCAAGCGATCAGTAACCTGACAAATCAGCAATGACATTTTACACTTAATTTAACTGTAGAAGGCATGATTGATATCGGTCATCGTAAGAAATAACCTTAAGCTTGTTCATATACATAATGTAGGCCTTTCAACTGCTGCTAGGACTCGCTGTTATGAACGATAACTCATTGCCAATACGTGTTTAGAACAGATCAAAGGTATCTGACTGTTTAAACGCAAGATTTTAGCATTTCCCAAGTGTTTCTTTGCTGTCAGTAGAATCAAGTGGTATTTTAATTTAACTCTAATGTTAAACTTATTTACTAATATAGTTTCAGACACCGTTTAATTACATAAAAGTAAATTTTTAAATTAAAATAAAAAGTGAAATATACGCTCTTTCTTAGTTCTAACCTGATTAAAATTTTATACTAGGTCGTTCTTCTTCGTGCTTAGTACCACAAATAAGAAAATTAATCATTGTATTTACTTGTAAAAAATATATATTTATATAGGAAGCGCAAAAGTTCGCATATAAAAAACATGCCATTATATTTTCTTCTTCATAACAATCGTCAAAGAGAGTTAAAATATTGAATATAGTCTGTTCCCCATTCATTTCACCCTGTTATTTCAGGTAGAGTGAAGACATTCTTCTTCTTTTGGTCAACACTTTTGTGTACAAAACAATGTAAGGAACCCTTTTGTGTTCATAATAAGACCAATGCTGAAGCAGCCCATATGTCTTTACTATAAACGATAACTCAAAAATCGGCACTTAGTTGGTCATTTTGCACACCTGAGTTACCTGTCCTTAAAACACAACATCGTACAAGTCAATTACAAATAATTAAACTATTTAATGATTAAATTAAAGGTGTGCATAAGTTTTTATCTTATTTGATAATTTCATTTACCTATAAATCTATCTATGAAATATTTTAAACATATGTGCAACTTGAAAAAATAGTTGAAAGGCCTAAATAATGCTTTGTATTGTTTTATTTTCCGCTGAAGTTATTCTAGATCCAATACAGGTGCTATTAACAAAGCGTTCGATTGATGCTTAGATCGACAGTAAACAGGTAATTCGATCCCGTTCTATTCTAATTTTTTTCGATCTTTTTCATATTGATAAAATATATTAATCTGGATAAAAAATACATGTATATTACTTGATCGGTATTACTGAGTAACAAGAAATTTATGATCTGATTAAGGAAGACTGCTGGTACACTTACCATGTTGGTCTTTAAAATGTAAATATAACTGTGTGTCTTGTCCTAGGCCTTAGGCAACTAAGTATAAAATAGTGTTCGTGATTAAAATAAATGTTCAAATTAGACAACTCACCGTTAATTCCTGTCTGATTTTTAAGACATTTCTGATTCTCTAATTTCTCCCCAATCCTAGACTCCTGGTTCTCAAATTCCTTCCTAGTCCTAGATGTCATGTTTTCTATTTCCTTTCTAATCACAGACTCATGGTTCTCGACTTTCTTCCGAAGCTCTCGGTTTTCATCTGTTATGACTTGCAATTTATCCACTAAGGCTTGAAACATGTCCTCTGTTATGTCACGCTTGCGTATGTCATCCTGAGAGTCAAATATCAATTGTGACAAAATTGTTTTGCTCACAATAAAAAGTATGATTATCACGCTCCTGTAATACATTATTCTTAAATAGTTACTGTAGTGATAGCAAAAATTTAACTTCCTTTTTTATTGTCTTATATACCCGTTTGAGGTAATACTTTGAACGGAAATGCATACAGTCTTTTCTGTTACTTTTTAACGGTTTGATTTCCTTCCTATAATAAGTGTTTGTTTAAGACGAAATCATTTAAAAGTTTGTTTTTTTTATCTTAGACGTTGAATTGTTGTAACAAAATGATGTCAAGAGCAAACATACAACTTCACGATGAATTGCATATTTGATGGTTATTCGCAACAATTGATAATTTCAGTTGTGATAAAGTAGAAACTACTTTTAGAAGAGAGAACATCTGTTAAGTACTGCATAATGAATATAAATCAAATTTTACATTTCATCAATATTTTAAAAATTTTTTTTTATCTAATCAAGTGTATTCTCTCTTACAAAGTGGTATTTCTGGGGAGATGATCTAAAGAGTCAACAAAAGCTGGAAAGTTCGTTGATTTCTCAAGAAATCCACTTGACAACTGTTTTAAATAAAAAAAGCAAAAATATCGGCATTTGAAATCGATTTAATATTTCTTTCCCTTAACTATTACTCAATTCCAAATAAACAATTTCCTATCGAGAGTAAGCACGCCCTCGATACGTCATATCCAACGTGAGTCCTTTTGTATTAATAAGAAGACTAAAAATTCCATTAGTCAGATAAGTATGAAAACAATTACTTAACAACTGGTATGAAATACATCAGTCTAAATACGACCTATTGATAGGTCAACACCAACATGAAGGTTATAGCAGAAAAGTAGCAGAGTAGTTCTTTATAAATTTGAAAAGTTGGCTCTGGAAAAACATCTTAATTGAAACAGATTTGGTAAACTCATTGGTTACTTTTATTTCAAGTTCACAAGAGTTCACAAATTTTGTGAATATATTCTTTTTCAAACGATTACAAAAGAAGAATGGGTTAATGAAGAGCACACTCAGTGCCCATCGGCATTTTTAAAATGTATTTTATGACTAGGTCTCCGAAGGCTACATAGATACTGCCAATATAGAACTCCATCATCCTTTTAAAACATCCTAAATATACTTGTGATTTTTATCAAAGTAATTTTCCAATTTTTGTCCAATCAGAAAAAAAGAGTTCCATTACATTATAATTTTTGTTTTGATAGTTTATTTTGTCTCAGTTTTCACATGTCCTTAAGTGCAGTCATCATTTGATTAACTTGAAAGAAGGCTTTAGCAGTATACTATGCGCCATTCATCTTATGTCTCCTGTTTCTCTACATCACCAGTGTCCGAGTTCTATTTCATTTCTTCGTACAATTGAAAATGAAATTTTATGTAACCATGTAATTCTTGACTGGCAAAAACATTGGTATTCTTTTATTTCAGAGAACCAAACAAATACGAAAGACAATTGTGACAGTATGCAAGTACATGTACGTTTGTACGTTAGTTTTCTCGTTTCAGACTTGTATACAATTGTGTATATTCTGTAATGGATAATGTATCAAATAATGTTATGTGAAAGCAGGAAAATCTTGTTTTTGTCGCTGAAAGATGAAAATGAAATGTAAACTGAAATTTATATAAAAGATAGCAAATATTTAAATGTAATTTAAAGACATTCCTCATAATCATGCAGTAGTTAATTGTTCGAGATGAATACTTGAAATTTACACAAACTGAAGCATAAAGTACGTTTGTGATCATCTATGCTTTATTCCTTTTGATTTAAAAATGCTAAAAAATAAACACACAAAAGCACCTTATCATCAAATACAAGATGTGTATATATAAATAATGTTGACATCAGGTTCCATGAACAGTTAAACAACTGTGCAATTCAAAGCCTTTTTTTCGCTTTGCGACATTTATATGAGGAATCCAGAAAATGTGGTTATAGGAGCGTCAGTATTTTGTGTGTAATAACCTTTCCCATGGTTATGTTTGATCCAAACTCGATCCCCCTGCTGCAGTCGGAATGTCACCATGTTTGTACCTGTCTCATAGCCATCGTTGTCATTATACACTTCCGCTATGGCTCGTACCTTACTAGATCCGTTTATCGTAATGTCTACCCAAATATTGTGACGGTTACTATTACTTTGGATACTGACATAGAACATATAGTTCCCTCCGGTTGGTGCAGTAAAAACTCCATCGGACATATTATACCCATTTCCTACGTTGTTGATGACTTTATCGAACACCAATGTCCCACCGCTCCATGTTGTACTGCTATAGGTGACCCCAGCAGTGAAGGCTACAGATACACTCTTCTGCAAATCTGCAGGTGCATAGTGGTATAAAAAGTAAAAGAAAGAAAAACGTACTGATCAAATGTAATATTAACTATTTCAATTAATATTATTTCTTTTCTACTATTCCAATAAATAAAAATCCCTTTCTTCCATGTATTACAACATAAAGTTTTACCAAAATTCATTCTTAAGAAATTATTCATGACTACGGCATGCACGGAAATAAAATATGTCAGATATTATAGTTATAATACTAGTATACAACTTTGATCGACACTCTTGATTTTTCTTAAATAAAAACATTGCAACCAAATTGATTTTCCCACTAAAATTATATAAGCTCATATAATTAACTTTAGGTATTTGATGAATAATAAAGACATTTTGAACAATTTTAGATAATTTTAAACTAGTCAAAATGCTTTGCTAAATAACGATAAAAGTGAAATGAACGAAATTAATTCACGCGACTTTTAACATATAGAGAGACGGTCATTTTGAACGTTGGAACTTTTTGAACAGTCATCTGCCCCTAATAAAAAGAAGAACATTTTCAATTTCTCCAAATTTCTGCCGTAAATAATTCATTTTATTTTATAGTTCAGTAAAGATGGAGTCTTTGCATATTTTCACAGAAAGATTTGTTTGAAATTCAAACTACTTTTTACAATATCTTTTAAAAACATGCGCTGCCCATAGACTTCAATGTATAATTCAACGTGCAATTATTTGGACAATAATCAAAATTTTGAAAATTCCTTTTATGAAGCATTTTTATTTGATTACATCTTCAAAATGCTCTCATGATGTAAAATATCGGACCATTCACTATTAGGTACAAAATATATAAGATCATTATACATTGAATACCTAAAGGAGGGATTCTCCCCAGATTTACTGTTACAAATTGAAGAGGACCATATCACTCAGTGATAGTATCAATTAGATTCAATTCGAAAGTTTATTTTAAGAGCAAGGTGAGGTCAAGTTCATAATTTTTTGCGTCAATTGACATTTAGAGTAAAATTATACTTTTGCCAATCATCTTATGCCTACATCTATTTTAAAAACATTATTTTTTCTCGTACATTAAATGATAATACAGTATAGGATCTATTTCAGATAATACTATAAAATCGATATATACAGTTTAACAAAAATGGATATTGACTAACCCTAATTTAATCTAATTGTAATTAATTTTTTTTGAAAATAGTTTTAAAATTTAGCAATTTTTCGTTATTTCACATATGGTAAAGTATTAATAAAAAAAAAACCAAAATGACATGAAAATAAAAAAGTTTTGACCGTTAACTATGAGAGTAAAAAGACTTTTTTGCTCAAATCCGTACTAATATTGGAAGCTTTCAAAAATTAACACAATATGAGTATTTTTTGAAAATCAAATGTTTTTAAAATATTTGAAACTGTAATCTATATCTAATAATTTGACTTGCTTAAAATGTTTAACTATATTAATTGTTCAGTAGAAATTTTGAGATAAAGAAAAGGAAGTATTTTCATATGGCACCATTCCGCCAAAAATATAGACCGTGTTACGTGTAACTTTTCAAATTAGTTTGACCATTTTAGTTTCAAGTTGTAATCTCATGAGGAGGCAAGAAAAATATTATCTTTAAATCTTAATAAAAAGACATATTAGCGAAGATACCTTGAAAAATAATTAGTCGGAAACCAGACAAGAATCCCTCCTTTCTTTTTTTCTGTTTTTCTTTAACGACAAAATACGATAAAATAGCCAATGCAGTAAAACCACCACATACATTGCTTACCACATTTATTTCTGGTGGTATTCATTCGGAACATCTCAAGAGTCGTCACGACAGAAGAAAGTTTTAGTTGTTCGTAATGTGATTTTTTTGCATCAGTTTTTAGGTCAGCAATAGCTTTGTTCAAATCATCTAAAAGAATTATAATTCAATTATAATATATTTACGGATATGAATCATTAAAACAGGATTGTATGCATTTACTCATAAATGAATCTGCTTTAATTCTTCTACAGTTATAAATGAAAAATTACAGGAAAACTTGAGTATAACGAATACAGATACAAGGAATATACGGTTATAACTTATTGTTGTTCATGTTTTTGATGCGTAAATTCATAGTATAGTGAAAGAATGTTTCATTTTATTAATTTTAAATCACAATTAAATGATAAGAAATGAATGTAATATTTTTTCCATTTGATCGAAGTATCAAAGACAAAAATTTGAACGGAAAACATTTTCACCAATGCACTACGCGCCCCGATGACGTTTTCCGTCCGAAATTTTTTCTTTGATACTTCGATCAAAGGAAAAAATATTACATTCATTTCTTAAATAATAAAGTTCCCAGGAGCTTTTACAACAACATATCGCTTATGCATGAGTTTTGTTCATTGTTCTTCACTTGCAAACATATCAAACTTGAGAAATTTTCAAAAAGATAATTTGAGGTACTGTGAGCTGACTGTTTTATGTCGAATTCGCTATAGAGCTTTTTACATATTCGTTGTTCACGATTTGCAGTTACGCGTAGTTCTTTTTTTTTTGGTCTCTTGAAATTTGTTATAAAGGAGTTTTGCTGTAGCGTATTATAGTGAAAAGTAACAGTAACAGTTATATAGTAAACTGCTCTAAATTTACCAATGTAACCCATACTCTGCTAATAGTATTTAGTTACAACTAATTTGAAAAAGAAATTAAAGGAGGCATCTGTAATAAACTTTTAAAACTACATTCAAACATTCTCAAAATATTTACTATATAACAAATAAAGTAAACAGACTTAAAATAGAGTCCAAAAATATTCAATTTTCTCCAGATGCCTGGATACCTGAACTATCTTATAATAAATTATATCTAATGATCAATTATAAATAAACAAATGCTTAGCTAGTGTTTTTATTCGCATTTTCCGAAAATATGTACAAGATTTGAGATTGTTTCCTATATAATATGATTAACTTAAATGAAGAACGTTGAAGAAATACTAATTGTTAAATACACATAATTTTATGAAGACTGCACAAGTGGTATTTTTATACGCAGGTTTCATTACTGAACTGTAGATTTACAGAACTTGAACAACGCACTAAACCTTAAATGTGTAGATTTTGTCACACAAAGTTAGTATGAATGATAAAGGTGAAGATAATGAATAGTCATCGATCTAATAAAACCTACAAGCAATACAGATATGTGTACAGGGCAGAAATGCACAGACCCCTAGAGATAGGATCCGGTTCCCTCGAAGTAGAATAAAAAAAACTTATTGCTTACCAAACATCGAAGATATGGTCGTATTCTGAGAGTTTTCAAGATTCAGTACAGACGTCGAAATTTTTGCACTAGAAGCAAGTAAATCGTTGTTCAAAATTTCAAGGGAACCATTCAATTTCGTCGATAAAATATCATACTTTTCCTCTATCAATGCAGGAATACTTTTGTCTAGTTCCAAAGTGTGTTTATTCAGGTCAAGAAGAGTAACTGACAGATAGCGAACTTCAACTTTTAGGTCCCCAAGTATTAAACCTGTGTTTTTTTCATAAACCTCTCTCTTATCTTCGAATTGTTCTTCAAACTCAAGAATACGTTGATTCATTTCAGTGAAGTTTTCTTTGACGGAACTGAACATTTCTTCGTACCTTCTATTTTCAAGCTTAAGTCTTTCGTTTTCACGTTTCAGTTCGTTCACTTCCTGTTTTAACGCTGTCACCTCGACTTCTGTTTTCTGCTGTGAAGTTTCCAATGTCTTCATACTTTGTTTCAGGTCGATCATGTCCTTCATCAGTGAGTGCACATTTTTCACCAATCCTATTCTTATGATCGTTTCCTGGTTTAAAAGTTGTCTAAAAACGTCAACATTTTTAGCATCAATATCATTTATGTCAAAGTGAGTTATATTTTGACCACCATTTTCTGTGACTATAGAAAAACTATGAACCTGAAGAAAACTGAGGAAGCCTAACGCAAGACCAACAGCGTTCATCATGAATGCCATGAGACTAAACACAAAGTGATTCTTTCCATAAGCATGTTTTCATTTTCTAGTTCTACGAAGATTTCTCACATTATTATATTAATGTAACCAATACCTTGAAGATGAAACGACTGGTGTGCTGAAAATTAACTTGTGGATTTTTTCATGATTATTTAGTTAATTTTTATTAACTTAACGAAGCAGATTTCTAAACAGATTTGTAACAGACTTCCAGGTCTATTCTTGCATCATTTTATTATTAGATTAAAAAATCCAACACAGAAAAGATTTTTGTTTTAAATGATTTTTTCACGCTGATGTGAATCTGATAACGCCAAAACAAAGAAAACCCATCACTCTGTGTACATGTGTTTTTTAAATATGTTTATATACAGACGGTAGATGTATTAACTTCATTGATTCAATCATGTCAAAGTTTATATCTGCGCACATTTTCTGAATCTCTGTAGAAAATAAAGTGGAATCATGATACTTTTGAAAAACAATGATGTGTTACACTTAAAACTCACAAAATCTTCACAGTTTTAAGTTCAAGTTCTAATTTTCAATTAAAGTACCTAGTTTCAAGCTCTTAAATTAATAGCATGAGTTTCCAAAATGTAATTTATTCAAGAATCTGTACCTGACAATCTACCCTACTAACATTCCTCGAAGACAAAAGCTGATTACGTTACATGTAAGTATAGAGGGTATAACATAAAAAAAAAGACACATCAGGGTTTTCTTTCAGGACCATAACGCATACGTAGTTGTATCTATAGCTAAACAATATTTTCAGCATATTTACTAGGTTATGAAATCTGTTGATATATTTAATAGTTTGTTGAAATTCACTTCAAACTCTCTTTTTATCAAGCTGAAGTCTCTCGTTTTTAGGTTTTAGTTTATTCATCTATATTCAATTTTTGTTTTGGTTGTGACGATTCCAGTGCCTCCATATTTTGTTTGAGATAGACTGTCTTCTATCAGTGTGTACGTTTTTCACCAATACTATTCTTATTATCGTTTCTTGGTTTATAAGTTGTCTCAGTCTGTCTAGACTTTTTAAATCGATGTCTTTGTGTCCTGTTTGCTTATATTTTGATCACCGTAAGGTATCGCCTGTTATAGTATAGAAATACTTTAACAACGGAGAAAATACACAAAAATAAACGCAAAACTATGAACGCCTCATCATGAATATTGTAACATAAAATGGCGGGTAACTCTATGATTTCTATTTCCTTTTAATTAAGTTGCCTATGGTATGCTTTGAAGAAGATTCAAGATTGAATGTGACAATTATTTATGTGAGATGATTGTTGCGGTACGCGTAAAGGCAACAGGTTTTACATATAATTGTGCACACGTTCATTTTGTCTCCATTAACGTATTAAATGGGACCCTTTTCCAAACGCAACTTTCCGGTGTTATAGACCATCGAAATACATTTCAAAGGCGTCTTTTTGCATTGCAGAACATTAGTTTTCAGGATATACCACCGATCTATAAGGGAACTATTTTTCTTGAAATATGTGTAAATTATTATTTTCTATCGTAAAGTTGAAAAAAAAGAAATGCCCTGTAGCAAGCACTAATGATATAACGTCGCTTAATGATACAGATATAGGATCTCCCATGATTTGTAGTTGGATATGATTTTTGTCCAACGAGTTGTGAGATTTTTATCCCCGCGTCTTGGCGAGATTCTTTTTATCCCATTTTTTTACACCACAAACAATGTTTAGCACTGTTTTTATATAAGACTCCACTTCATTTTACTTCATCACTCTAGCGCAAAATCCATTGTGACGTCACAACTGTGTGATACGAAAACGATATCACATGAGCTATATCAACGGGATAAAGGGTAAAACATATATTGGATAAATAGCATAATGCAATGCAACGCTTAATGCTATAAAATATTGCATTAATGGTTTACCTTTTCAACCGCTATATAATGCTAAATTGCAGCTCTAATGAAAGATATATCATTGAGCGGACGGGCATGTCAAATATTAATACAATTAATTATTCATTACATTTGTATTATGAAGCGCTGTTATATCATTAGCGGTTGCTACAACGCCCTCTCTATTTAGGCGTCATCTGTAGAAGATCATCATTCAAGTTCTTTCATTTTAATGTTACAATCACGTTTCCTGATACGTTCTGCTAATTTAATGTGTACATTTCCAAGCCCTAAAAAAGCAGTAATTAAGCAATAAGCTCCTGCTTAATGCTTAACTAGAATAGAAGTGAATTAGTGTTAAGGACTGATGACCTCTGCTCTACGTACATTTCATCTTAAATGAGTTTTTTTATTTGATTCATAATTATAAAAGATAAGGCATGAAGTGGTGACTATTCGTTTAGAAAGGATTTTTATATTAGACAATGATATGAAAAAATAATTACGCAGAGAGTAGAAAGTCGAAAGTGTAGTAATTTATTACCACAACATAAATTTGAAAATAAGTGGTATATATGAAAATATAAAATTCAGAGTTAAAACAATTCATAAAAGAAATCAGAGAAGAAACATAATAAAGATCTACTTCCTACGTCAAAATAACACAATGTTATACAGAATGTGTGCTTGTAAGAAAAGAATAATTCCCTTAGAAAATTTAATTTTCTGTAGAATCTTTTTAAGGTAAAAAATGCATAAATATACCTCTCTAAAAATAAAAATTCTACATATACTAAAAGATACATTAAAGATTTTTTCAAAAGTTCATAAAAAGATAGAGTTTAGAGTTGTAAAGCTGGATGTAGATGTTTTAATAAAATTAAAGGAATATTAGGAAAAGGGAAATAGAATACTGAACTGATCACTCATTAGGATCCGGATAGATAAACTATGAGTAATATCAAGATTTTTTTTTGCTGAGATAGTTATTTCTCTTAGCAGAGGAATGGCCCTCTTACGTTTAAAGCACGTGGGGGTACTCAGTCAGTGAAAAAGTTCCTCCATTTAATTTTCTTGAATTCGATTTTAAATGCACTACTGCTTTTTCAACGTTTGATCAAATTTTCATGTTTCATTTGAAGGGGTTTTTATGACCTTTTCTGGTTGATAGAATGTCAATTAAAAATGCCGATATTTTGAAAATTCTTGTCAATAAAAAACCTGCAGGTATAAAAACCTAACGACAGACTAAACCATATGACTTAAAAATTGCTAATATTTTCATTTTAATGAGACTTTGGTGTCATACAACGTATTCAAATTAAATGCACATATTTATTAACTGAAAATCAAGGTCTCTGTGTTTGGTGTTGGTATGAAAGTTATTCAGTATAACATAAATTAAAATAGCGCAAGTATAACTTACATGTATCACTATCAGCTTTAAAGTTCCGAATATTTTGATCTGAATCTGTTTTCATTGAGTACTGCAAGTCCTTAAGGGGGATGTCCGGCCACTTTTAGTGGAGTGAGAACAAAATGTAAACAGTTCTTCAAATGGCTAAAATACAGTCATTATATTTTGATCATATTTTAAGTCCTTATGATAAAGATACAATAAATATGCATAACTGAATGCATGTTGTGCATATATAATCTATACTTTTGCAGAAAAAAGCTTTTGATATGCTCCTTGGAACTGCGCAGCTACAGAATTCAGCAGAGCCTTAAAAATCCACAAAAAAAATGTTCTCTCTACAACCATTTGTTGAGAAAATGTCTACATTTTGCACTTTTAAATGATAATTTCAAGTTCCAAACAAGGTACCATTGTCTTAAAAAAGAGTTCAAAGAACCAAGAAAGTAGTTCATGGATAGCAGGACGTGGTCTATTTTTAGCACAGAATTTTGTTTTCTAGTCCCCTTCCTAATATGGAGGTACATAACAATCTTTAAATGTAGAAGAGCATTACAGTTGCAAAATATTTCAAATAATATGAACACGTTTAAAAGAGGAAATGTGTTATAGTGTGGCTTGAAGTAATTTATTTAGTATTATTATCGAACAGTTGTTAAATAGTGTACGTATTGGTATTTAATAAAATCTTAAACTATTTGATTCCAGGTAAGAAAAAATGAGCACCATCAAAGTTAAAAATTAAGAGTTTGTAAGTTTGCCACAGATAAGGTATATTATCTATCAAAATTCTTAATTATCATCAATGAAACACAACGAAATTAGACACATAAAATCGATAGGAATGACCTTGTTTTAGTACCTACTAGTACGAGGGGTGATCAAAAAGTTCGCGAACAATCTCTATATCTACAAAACCACAATTCAGATAAAAAACAAATTTGGTGCACACATAGCCAAATATAAGTTCTATAAATAGCATATGCTGAATAAAGTTTTGCTCCTTGTTTGTTACGTCACAATGTGAAAATGACGCCATTATGCAGGCACTTGTGACGAAAAATGGTTGTCTTAGTGGAACTTGTTCAACAAACGACTTTGTTATACCCTTATAAATATCGTTCTATATATCTATTACTTATCAAAAGTCCAACAAAAGAACTGTTTATTACATCGGTCTAACAATTTCACTATTGACCGGTCTTACATAAAAATTGTTAGACCACAACGTCACTCGTCTGTTACGTCACAAGTAATTAATCATCGTTAAATATCGCCGACGCGAAAATAGCCGAAGTTAAGAGCTACAAGAGTTGTTGCAAACAGCAAGGTAAGGAAGAAGTAAAAGAATACGTTTTGTGATAAATACTTTTTGTGATACAATAGATATTTGATTGATTTTTTTCTTTCTCAGCTTGATGTTTTATATTTACTGAAGAAGCCATAATTTTCCATATAAAATAATTGATAATATAGCGTGTATTGATTAAATTGATCAATGTTAAGTGAGCAGTGAGGGGTATAACAAAACAGTTCTAGACTGGGATTCGGGCAACATATGATTTGTTGGACCTGAAGGTGAAAATGTTGCCCGAGAAATGCCTTTGAAGTAGCGTATAAGAATGTGTTCACAGTTTATTGAGACAAATGACTTCCTATAATTTCAATAAATGATTGGATAGATCGTTT